TGCAGCCCCCCGAGCCGCGCGGGAGGCCTGCCCGCCTCAGCGCGCCCAACCCCGGTGCCATTTTGCACCAGCCAACTGGTCCTTCCCTCGAGTGAGGAGTGGAAACAGTATGTCGGAGCGGTTGGGAGCCTCCCCTGGACCGCTGCCCGGGCTGGTCCTTATCTCCTATTTGTCTTTATCTGCTTAGGTCAACCAGAGGTTCAGGCTCGTGGAGACAGGTGTAATCCAGCGAGCGCCCGTGGGCCAGCGCCTCCGCATCGTCCCCGCTGCCGGAAGGTAAATGGGCTCATTCCCAGCCCTTTAGGGAATGGTTAACGGCAGAAACGAAAACCTAAGATGCAGAGCTGAGACACCTGTAAAACATCCAGCCGAACGAGCACGTTGAAAAGCCTGCATCCTGCCAAGGAAGCATGCTTTTAAATCAAATGGACAAACCGGGGTCGAGGCACTGGCAAGAGTAAAATGATTTGTTTTTTAACCATGGTTAGCAGCTCAAAAAGCCTCCGGCGTTTGAACTCAATCTCACTTAAACTACAGACTGCTGCCAGTTATCAGCTTCAGTGCCTATTAACTAAATCAAGTTAGCCAATCCCATTTAAAAAACAGCAAAGGAAAAAACAAAGAAACCCCACCAAGCTGTCATTTTTCTACTGTGACAGACCGCTGTTGGAATGACCCACTTGGTGCTCTGGGCACCTTCATTTCCTAAAGTGTGTTTTAAAATATATTGAAACAGACAAATTTCTTCATGCTCCTGCTCATAATACCCATCAACAATACAGGCAAAATTAAAGCCACACCAAAGTGGAACCAGAGCCCTACGTGCATTTCTACCGTCACACTGTACCTCATAAGCCAAGATGCATCTTGTACAGTACCCTAAAACCAGATAAGATGGGCTTGTCACCCTCCGAAGGAAACTGACTTGCAAAAGCCCTGGGAACTAACAAAGAAAGGCACCTGAGGCTGCACTTCCCACTCGTGACAAAAACTTAGCTCATGCTCCTGCTGGCTGCTGTTGCAATGTCTTGTGGAACAGCTTCTTGTAGATTCTAGACTGTTTAGGACTTGGTAAGTTAAAACCAGCATATTGACATCTGTCTGGAAAATAATACATGAAACACAGATGAGAGCACAATTTAATATGATCGCGGAAAGAAAAGTTACTTAGCAAGCTAACAATTCATGCACTTGCTGCCATTTCCAGTAGATTGAAGATATAGCCTTACTGCAATGTCAAATGTCAAGGTGATAAGGACATGCAAGACAGTTATAGGGTCTGTAACTGAGTATGTATTTTCAGTTGGGCACAAGCTCCTATCTCTGTAGATGGAAAAAAGGCCAAAATAGCTCTGCACTAGTTACCTGATCTTAACGGCAGGAGCCAAGATTCTAATCAGCTGCACAGATCATAAACCTCAGCAAGTAAAGGGAGAAACATAACCTCAGTCACTAGGGAAGAAATAAGTCTTCCATGCTGTCCCTACCACATACGGTCATCTCAGTCACCTGTGAGCTGATTCTCAGGCAGCAAGTCCGCATCCATGCCTCCATCCTCACCAACACTACAGGCTTCTTCACATGGAGAGGTGTTCCAGAAGATGTTCCTAATTCCCTCTGTAAACACGCTTATACCTTAATTGCAAATTATTTTAATCAATTTTTGTACATCATACTGTTTTGGAAAGAGACATACATCTTTTGGATTAAGAGTTATTCAAAAATACTCAGATTCATGACTTACCTTAATCTAAAGGAGCTTTTGTGTCATGATAAGACCTAAGAATCAGCCAACTGCCCTACCAAATAGGAAAGTCACAATTTCCAGTAATTTTTGCCTAAGATATAAAAGTTAGATCAGTGGCCTATGAGTATGATGCAGCCTGTTTAGAGTACTATGGAATTATAGTGGTCGGTATAGAAGACTGGAGTTCAAGATAAATTAAGGCTAAATTCAAGAGATCACGTTGCGTTACATAGCAAAGAGGCTCCAGGTCAAGAACGGGCAGTAGCGAGACCCAAACAGGGATTCCAGCCAAAATTTAGTGCAAGGCTTTACCCTGGGAGAGCCATACCTTGTCCATTGCACATGTAGCAAGTTTGACCCTTCTCTCATTCCTGCAAGACCTGCTTAGTTCACCAGTGCAGGAAAATCCCACTGGCTGAAGAACAGAATAATGATGCCCTCCTAGATTTGGTCGTAAAGTTAATAGTTTTGTTTGTAATTTGCTTTGGATTGGGATGAGGTGACCAGGCTATAGACTGCATCAGGGCCCTGTTAAACTGGGCCTTCCTGGATTACAGAGGAAAATGCACAGACACAATGAAACAACATGTTCAAACAAATAAGTATCTTATATTATTTATATGTAACAATTTGACACAGAGGTTTTATGTACTAAATTTTATGACATACAAAGAAATAAAATAGCTTTTGGAAGGCATAGCTCCAACTGAAGAAAAAATCTGGCTTACCTATGCTGCTTCAAGATCAAACAACATTCACTTTAATGTGTAAAGTATCTATTAGACAGGATGTGTAAGGATTGTAACAGTGTATAAAATAGTGCTATAATTTTTAGTGTAGTTTTCCTACAAATATCGCAACATATTTAATAGATGTTGCATATAAGGAGGACAAGAGGACTTCCCATATTCAAAAGCTAAAATATCAAGAAAAAAATATAATAATTAGTGTAAATTTTAGAGAATCTTAAATCACTTCATGCACACAAAGCCAGATTCCTTTCCAGTTACACATGTACACAAGGAAAATAAGTTTTGCAATTATTAGCAATTATCTTTGAAGCAGTTATTTTCACAGACAGTATTTTTATGAACCATCCAAATCAGGTTAGCATATATCAGTGCCATAGTTATATTAGCTTTCCCTTTTAATTAAATAAAACTGTTGAATAAACCATTATGTTCCAGTGCTTATTAATATAAATCTTGGTCAGCTTTCAAAAGAAAGCTTGTTTCCAAAAGACTTGTTTGTCCTATAATATTTTTAAAGAGCTGTTGTATTGTCACTCAAAAGTGCATCTATCATACCTTAATAGAGGTAATTAGACAGAAAACAAATTATACACCCGTATGATTATCAAGAAGCTTGATAACATTCCACAGCAGTAATTTTAGCATTACATGTTCATGTACCTACTACACATTATTAGATAAATCCAATGTGACAATCTCATCACGGGCATGCTCAAAGCCGAGGCTACACAAAAAAAAAAAAAAATCAATAAAATGTGGGACATAGGCAAGCTCTAGTCTCTCTCAATCACACATCTGTTAGGCACTTCAGTTTAAAGTAAGGCTGTGGAAGACAGATATTTGAGTTTTTAATCTCGTAGATGACACTGCCGTTCAAGTTAAAACATTAGTGAGGGAGCCCCTAGGAGAGCTCTTTCTCATACTCTTTTGCAAAGGAGCCAGATCCACTGGCCTGAACAGTGTCGCACTATTACATCCTGGCTAATGATCCAGCTCACTGATGTCAAGGGATGTAAGGAACGGATCTAAAATTGCTCCACTCCACAGAAACATGCCCTTGCCTTAACAAGCTTGGGCTCATGCCCTCAATGAAAGCAAAATCTGGAAACCTGGAAAAGCATTGCAACAGCTCAGAACGCTAGGCTCAGCCCTTGGGACTCTCCAGCCCCGTCTGCACTGAAGTCAGTAACACAATTCACACTGATTTCCATATAGCTGAGCTTTTGCTTCCAGTTTAAATTGATAACAAGGACATTCATGTCATCAGATGACCAGCATTATCCACTTTCACTTGTCTCCCCAGTTCCTCCATAAGGCAGAACTGATGAATGCCTATTGCTTTAGAAAATATTAGTGTTTACCTCCCCCTTTTGCAGAAAAATTTAAGATTATTATAAACATTTTTTGTGGGGAACTATCAAATTGATTAAAAACATTTCATAATCTGTTTCCAGCTTTAAAGCTATATAAAGAACAGTGCAATATAAAATGTTTCACTCTTGAGAAATTTTAAATATTTTCTCAAAGAGTGTATGTGAATAAATCCATCTCCATTCATACCATACACACATTGTTTAGTTTCTCTCCCACGGAGCCATATAAATAGTATCTAGAAGTGAAGCCTAACGCCCATGCAATTTTTCTCTCTGCAAAGGCTCAGGCATGAAGCTAAGAGACATTGAGCAGAGCCCAATGACAGTTAGGGAAATGGCTATGCAGAGGCCCATTGAACCGAGAGTCTGAAGGGCCGAGGGAAGCATCGAAGTGGCCAGGAGCCAGTCGTGGCGCTCGGTCATATCCATCCTGATGGCTTCCATCTGGAAGTGCGTGCCAATGATCCCACATACGTGGAAAACCTGGTGGCTGTGCCCTAAAATAAAGTCAAAAGCATTCTGCTTGAAATGCCTTGGGTTTCGTGAAAACACAACCAGGAGAGTTCAGCAAACCTTCTGCATAGAACCCGTTGCCTCCTTACACCACATATTAAAAAAAAATCTCTTTTACTTATTTCTATAGCTTTTATTGTCGTGCCACGAGATTACGGAGATTTTCCTTTCCAAAACGCATTGAACTCCAGCCAGCTACACTCGACAGGAGAGACATGCAGCTCTGTGCTGCAATCCTGGCACATGACACGTGAAGTAGCACTGAGCTTACACACGGCTTCAATGGGAGACCAAGGAAAACCCTCGATGTTGTCAGGAGGAGGACTCTGATCCAGTCTCTCCTTGGAGACTGCTCTTGCAATGCCCTGACATGGCACTCTGAAGCATCACTGTGCTACAGGTGATGTCCTTTGCATGAGAAATGAGAGCTTTTTGGTTGCAAAACCCCTTAAGAAACATTTTTGGCACAACAGGCTTCAGGATCTGTTTCCGCTTTGGTTAGGCAAGATTACTGTATCTTGTATGTATAACTGCACCTAGAATTTGCAAGAGGGACTATATTATAACCTTTGAGAGTCACTCATGCATTAGTGCTCTTCCCTCCTGAAAATAATGCAAAAACAGCCCAGACTCACCCTTTTGGCACTTACCAATGTAGTCAAAGTGTCCTGGTGCAAGTCTCTCTGGCAGGTGGCTAGCAAAGATGAAGCACGTGAGGAAGGCAAGCACTGTGTGTCTGTAGTGCACCGTGATCACGGCCTCCGTGCAGCTCTCCACCGCGCACAGGTAGAACTGCAAAAGTAAAGAAAAGGCCACATGACGCTACTGTGCAACAGAAAGAGAGGGAACAACTAAAGACACCCTTCAGCCCCTGTGTCCCAAGGGCCACATTAGGGCCGCTGGGGAATCCCCATCCCAGCCCTCCATGGCCTGCGCCAGCCTCGTGTGGCTCCAGGGCGAGGATGGGGCTTGGCAGGCCCTGCTCTCCATGGTGTGTGTGTGTGCCGGGGCTTTCCAGCCGCCGGTTTCCTAAAGGAGGCAGCACCAATTTGCAGCCTCTCAAGCCTCAGTAGCCTCTGACTGCTCCTCATCTAGGAACAGGGCATGTGGTAGGCTGACAGCGGCTGTTGGGAGCTAGAGCTCTGCTTGCAGGACCTGTGACTCAATACAAGAGCAAGAGCTCTTGCCTCTGTTTCATGTGAATTCCAGGCCCCCACCTCCTGTCCTTAGATCTCACTGCAGGAAAATTCCCACCCAGCTCATGTTTAGAAACTAAGCACAGCTTTCAAAGACAGCAAATTTCCAGCACAGGAGAAGTTTGAATGCCCTGCTTTGAAGTGAGAACAATTCATGTATCAATGGGTACAGGAAAAAATAACCAAATCTCTTTTCCTGCTGGTGTTAGTTTTCTATTAAAAAAAAAAAAAGTTGATATATTTTCCAAAGTATTTTCAGACTGAGATTAAGCAGCTGATATTTCTGACCCCACAGCAAGTAAATATCTTGGTGCTGAGAATTTTGACTTTTCAAGGCATACCCTGTAGAAGAGAGGAATGCTGTCAAATAGGTACGTGAGAGCGTGCCAGCGCCATTACTGCCTTGCTCCTAAAGGCAGCAAATCTTTCTTGGGCTCAGGGAAGATGCTGCCCCTGGGACACCCTTCCCATTACAGAGGCATGGCAGATGAGGCTAACACAAGTGCTGGATTCTGTTTTGCATTAGTTTCCTGGGAACTGTGCCTTGCAACACATAGACTGGGCACACTTTTTCCCAGAGAGGTCTGTGAATTTCAGCCCATACAGTGCAGTTTTTGTGTGCTGACAATATTAAAGCTGCAACCACCCCCAGTTCAGGTGGCTGATCCTTTCCTGGCTGAATATGGAGGTGGAGGGGAAGGATGAGAGGAGCCCCCCTTTCTGTATTACGTGCAGAAGAGCTTCACACTGAGTCCAGGCAAAGCCTCTTCTCCACCAGCTGTGCAGGTTTGAGGACAAGAGCTGCAATGAGGAGTCAGCCAGGGCTCAGCCAAAGCAAATCTGACTGCCAGCTCTGCTGAAAATACCCTAATTTAATATGACAGTGTGCTGCTTTTTGCTCTCTCCAGCCCTTCTCCTCTTTCCTCTGCCTCACCTCACATCCTTCTCCTGCTCCCCTTTGCTTTCCAGCTTGTTGACTGCTTTTTAATCAAGGTCCGCCCCCCCCCCCCCCCCCACACCCCCCGCCCCCCCCCCGCCCTTTCTCACTGCACACCGCCGGCCGGTGCCCGAGATGATGCTGCATCACAGACATGACTATGCGCACCCACAAACTGACCCAGCAGCCGCGTCTGCGCTGCCAGCTCTGCGGGTAGCTGAGCCTGACATTTCCCTCCAGCCATCTTCCCTATCTCAGGGTGGATGCACCAGCACATCAGGTGACCTCTAGCTATTTCCATGATTACTGAATCACACCTAATTTACAGCCCAGTTCATGACGCTCTTATCCTTACTAAAAAAAAAAATCACAGACCAGAAGAAAATCAGCCAAGTTCTGTCTCCAACAGGTACACTTTCTAGACATGGTTTAGTATGCACCAGGCTCTCACAGACACTGGAAGCAGCTTTGAAAATGTGGAGTCTTTTTTACTCCATCTTAGCACTGCTGATTTTGGTTCTTTTATCAGTGCTCATTAACGATTACTCATCAGCAGCTGGGAGCAGAGCTTGTCTTTAAACAGCTGCTGCCCCTGCAGTTCTTTTTAACTGAGTTTTTACTCTCATAGTTTTGAATTCAAGCTTTCTGAGCACAGCAATCCCAAGGAGAATACATCTGCATTAGTTTAGGCGGCTTTGTAGGAAATACAGCATGCAGGCTGCAATTGCCAATGTTTGTTGATTAAGCTGTATTGCAGCCAAAATGCATGAAATGTCTCCACATACTTCTTTTTTACATCCTGCCAAGACTTTGCAATTGTCATTGTCGAGAGTGCATGGAGACAGATACTAAAACCAAAAAATAAATTAATTTAACAAGTTACCTTTTTATGACATCATGACTATAACAACAACAAGCTTATTGGTTATAATGATACCATCTATGAGGAGGAAAGGGTATGTCTGGATGGAGAACAATATTCTAATTTCCTTGCAGGGGGGAATGCACACTGTTGAGTATGTCCTACACTGTAGGACTTATTTCATAGCTCAGATCACAAAATAACTGAACACACAGATTCCCCCAAAACACAGTATAAAAAGTGCAGGAATAGCAGCTAGGTCATAAGCTGCGTGCAGAGTCCCCAGGCTGCTTTGACACAACAGGAACATGACTCAGACGAAATCTTGACACCAAAAACCAGATAGAGCCACAAAGAGGCACTGTATCACCCGCTGTGTGCAGCCGCAAGTGAGCTCGGGCAGCGCAGCCCACCACGACCCACCACGGCAGGACCCACGTGGCCAACCAAGCTGCCGCAGAGGAGCCAGATGCCTCTCCCTGCGTGCCACCAAGGAGCACAACGCCCGTCTGGGCAGTCAGTCCAGCCGGGAGGCCTCCCACACCCAAACTCGCCATGCGGGATGCCAGAGTCAGGGTGCACCAGAAAGCAAACAGAAAACCTCTCCCTCTGACATTTCTGAATAAGGCAGAACAAGACTGAGCTTTATAGCATTTCAGCCCAATGAGGGAACAAGGAGATTAACTTAACTCGAACAGAATTACAACCGATCTGCTTGCAAAGCAGAAGAGCTCTATTGAGATAACCCCAAATACATGTTGAAAACACAGCAAAGAGAAGTTATACTCGAGAGCTACAACTGCATAAGGAGCTTCACCTCACTCCTGCTCCGTTTGGCCCTGTCTATCATGGCCTTCAGGAGACCTTGGTGTGAAACACCATGGTGATGGTCAAGATGCCTCCTACTGTATTTTCTCCTATCTTTCTACAGTATTCCCACTGTAGAAATCTGATATTGCTACTGTATGTTCCTACTGTGGAGTCATCTGCAGGGTGCTTCACTCGACTTCTGAACGCAAGTTGCCCAGGTATTGCTCTGTGGTGTCTTGCTACCCCTTGCTGTGCATCTTCCCACTCTTTTGGCTATGTACAGATCTAACCTGCATACTTCTGTTCCCAAAACTTTGCCACAACATTGCAGTCTGGGCATATGGCCAGGCACACAGCAACCCCTGGGACAGTACCCTATTCACAGGGGACTGCATGAGATATAACAGAGTTCAAGCGTACTCTGTCCTCATTGTGAAAAGCTCATACAGTTTTTTCTACTTTCATGTAGAAGTCCGCAGGGAGATGCCAAATTCTCAAACATGAAAGAGCGCCTTTGTTCGACTGCTCATCCCATGGGTGGGGAACGTGGTCAAATGTACTCTGCGACAACGCTACAGGGCTTATCTAGCACCACAGAAAAGATAAGCGTGCTTATTTAAATCTATCTGCATACGCTTCCTGGTCTGGCAATTCAGTGTTCCTAGGGCAAAGGATGTAAAAGACAAAAAAAAGAAAAAAGAATGGACTAAGAATTACAATGGACTAATCAACGAGCTGCACAGGATTGGAAAATTTTCCTGAGAAGCTGAAAAATTTGGTGCAGTAGGCTTAGCAAATGCCTTCACATGTTCCTCAGACGCCCTGCTGAAAGCCTCCGCCTTCATCAAGCAGCCGTGTCTTCAACCACATTAATTTGCAATCCCATCGACCGCCACGTGGCATATGCAAAACGGCCGGGGTGGCCCACGCTACCTTTGCTGTTGAATTTAGCCACAATAAGTGATCTCAGAAGGGTCCCTGAGCCTTCCCCTCGCCTAGCGCTAACAGTTGGAGCATGCACCAGTCCGAAACAGCCAGGCGTAGGGCTTGCTTCTGCCCTCGCAAGTTCCCCTGTTGCTGGCGAAGGTGCCGTCCGTCCATCCGTCTGTCCCTCTCCCGGCTCACCTTGCAAGCCCCGTGGAGGGTGCAGTGGAAAGGGGCCGCTGGGACCGCTTTGCTGAGCTGCTATGTCTAAGGCGGAGAAGAGGCGGCGTGCCGGGACGGGCTCCCCGAGAGGCCACCCGGCGTAGGGACGCCACCACCCACTGCACAATCCACTTGCA